CTTTCCCTTAAAAAAAATATTTTTAAAGGAGTCTTTGTTATTTTACTTATTTATTTATTGCATTTTCTATGCATCACGCTCTGCCTCTCTTCTAGATGAACTTTGCCGCCAGATGGCCGGTCTGCCCCCGAGGCGACTCCGACGCTCCAACTACTTCCGACTCCCACCCTGTGAAGATGTGGATGTGCAGAGACCCATTGGTCTGTGACCAACAGGGAGGGAGGGAGACAGAATGTGTGCGTGAGAGGGAAGGGCGTCCCTTCTTCTCCAGCCATCGCCAGCCAACCCATAGACAGGAGTTATTTCTTAGACCTGTCCTTTGGGTTGTCCGACTTTTTGCCCTTACTCCCTAATTTTCCATCCAGACTGGTAACATGTATCTCATTTTTAAGTACTTAAAATACAAAGTCTATATTATTGCATGTCTTTGCTGTTCCCAATAAACTAGATGTAATGGATAAATGACCACATGATTTCTGTGCAAACACTCTACGTGCAATGTGAGGTCAGAATCCACTGTAGGTTAATCGTCTTTACTGTTGAACCTGTCTGAAAGAGATCTTAGGGTGGAAGAAGCTATTCTTGTCTTCCAGCTAGCCATAGGACTTCATTTATTTTCCTTTCAAGAGTTTCCTAAATCAACTCTGCTTCATCAACCATAGCCCTCTTCCCTCTTACTTTAACTATTTTGCTAGACTGCCCCAATACTTGCCCGGTGGGTTTTCTTTATGAGAAGGGCCGTGGTAAGTTTTGTAGTCCAAGAAGAGTCTCCAACAAGCCAAGAATTATGCAATCTTACCAGCAATAGATGCAGACTCAAAATGCTGCCTTCTGCCACGTTCAGAGGCCAGGGCCAACGAGAGAGGACTTTGCCAGGTATAGAACTTGGACCCATTATTCCATATCCAATGTTTTTTGGAGAGATTTTTGCCATAAGATGTGTGCACTTGCCATAGAGACAGAGAGACAGAAGTACAAAAAGCAAGAAATGGTCCCCTCTCCCGGAGGGATGGCCACGCTGCAATCCCTTCTCCTCCATTCTCCTCTCAGGATCTTGGGCACGCACGCACATGCACTTGGCATGAGTTTCAAGCCGCTGGGCCCAGGACTTGAATGATGGCCAACCATGTGGGGTCTAGCTCCTTAACCACTATGCCACCTGCTGGCTCCTTCATACACATTTTTTTCATGCAGTCAACCAATCAAAAATTAGAACTAGAACGTGAAAACATTTATTTATTCATTCATGGCAGTACATGGGTTAGCCCACCTCCACAAAGCAAATTAGGCAAATTCACGTGGAAACATACCATGGACGGGAATTTTCCACTTCTTTCATCCTTACCACCCACCAAATACGTGGTAGAGACAACTGTGCAGATGGCTTCTGGAATACCCTGATTTGGACCTAAAAAGGATATTCAGAACAGGATTTTAATAGACAGGGAGAAAAAAAGTTTAATGATTTATATGAAAAAGCGAAGTAAAACTTTTTCTTAAGAGAGATTTTTGCAATAGGGCGTGTGCATTCCCCTGAGAGACAGAGAAAGACAGAAAGCAAGAAATCACCTCCCAGGGGGGATGGCCACACCACAATCTCTTCTCCTTTCTCCTCTTGGGATTTTGGGCACACATGCACACGTGCCCGATGTGAGACTTAAGCCTCTGGGTTTGGGACTCAAGCTCGGTCAACTATGTGGGAGTCCAGCAACGTGACCATGACGCCATCTGCTGGTCCCAATAAACAATATTTAGACACCCACATTCTTACCCTTGCTTTACCGGTACCCATGAAGCCTCAGATAAGTCATAGTCTTTCACTAGGTCCTGGTTTAATTTCTTTGAATTCAAAATGAGCAGGTTAAATTTATTTCAGTTCTAAGACTTCTTTTCATCCTAGAGTTCTCTGAATTCGAATGCATTATTCATAGCTCTTGAGGCCTAGATGCAGCTGAATTCACAACAGCCATGTCTGCTTGACCCTGGATGAGGCCAGTAGACCACAATGTGATCGAACAAAATCCCATTCTAGTAGGTGACAAATTGTATTTTATGGACCCTTCTGTCTGAACAACTCAATAACTTTCTATAAAAGCCGATGGAATTGGGACAACAAGTTACATATGCTTGTAGGGGTTGGATTCCTCCCCTATTACTGAGAAAATGAGCTAAATGAAAATCAGATTCTTGCTGTTAAAAAACAATTCCATTTTATAGGATTTGAACAACTGATGAAAGAGAAATGCTAGAAAAAGCCCCAAAGCATGTACTCTATCTCAGTCTCCAGAATTAAACGTATTCGTGCATAGACAAGCATTGTAAATGCTTATCGTGGCTGCAGTGAAGCCCCACACACAGTTTCCAAGTTTTACTTTAAGAACGTCTCCATGAACGTGACCCACTCACTGCGTATCGAGTGAGAGGTCATTCCCACCAGATAACACCTTAACCCCGCTATTGTGTATATTGCAAATTAAACATTTTAACGTACTTTTGTTTGTTTTCCATTGCTTTCCAGAATACAGTAGCCTTTGTTCTGGTTATTGTATTTCCCCTCTTTTCTTTCATGCTTACAAAATAGATCTGAACTCACACCCCACTTTGAAAACTGAGCACTGGGCTGGCCTCATGACCTAGTGATGAAAAAAAGCTATATCCTGAGGGACCAGCAGTTAGCGTAATGGTTATGTCGCTGAATTCCCATGTAGTCAACCACGGTTTGCGTCCCAGACCCGGTGGCTTAAAACTCACGCCAGGCGCGTGTGCGTGCATGCCCAAGATCCTGAGAGGAGAATGGAGGAGAAGGGATTGTGGCGTGGCCATCCCAACCCAGGGGGTTGATATCTCAGTTTCTCTCTGTCTCTCTCTGTGTTTTTGGTGAATGCATGTGCCCTATAGCAAAATCCTATCAAAAAAAAGAAAAAAGAAAAGAAAAAAGAAAAAAAAAAAAAGAAAGAAAAGAAAAAAGCTATATTCCTTGGGGCCTGCAAGTGGCATGGTGGCTGAAGTTGCTGGATTCCCACAGGACCGACCGTGGTTTGAGTCCTGGACCTGGCAGCTTGCTTTCTTGCTTTCTATTTCTCTCTGGTCAAATTAAAAATAAAGATTCAACAAATTCCAGTGACAACATCTACACAATGATTAATCTGGTGCTGCCTGGAGGCAGCTGGTCCAACTTCCTGATGGGTCCTGGTTCGGGCGGCCCGAGGGGCAGCATGGAGCCCCACCACATGAATGGGTCATTAGGGTCAGGTGACATAGATGGACTTCCGAAAAACTCTCCCAACTACATAAGTGGCATTAGCAATCCTCCAGGCACCCCTCGGGACGATGGCGAGCTAGAGAGGAACTTCCTCCACTCCTCTCAGCACAATTACCCTCCAAGCAGGACGACGAGTGTGCGATTCCCCCTCCCCTGAGACGCCGAGAAAGCCGGCATTGCAGGCAGGAAGAGGCCAGAATTATGCAAGAAGTGAGGTGTCATGACCAGGAGCTGGGGCAGGGCATCTCCCGCTCCCCTCAACCTCGCCCTCCTCCCCTTCCACTCAACTTTCCCAATTTTAGTTTCATGCAATAAAAAGACTGAACTTTTTATTCCATAAACCATGAGGGACAAAACTCAAAATAAAAATATATTTCAGCTCAATGACCAGAAAAATCCTACCCCTTGCCCTACCCCCAAAGGACCTTTTCTGTACATGACACTTTTTTTTTTTGAGAGGTTTTTGCTATGTGTGTGTGCTCGCCAGAAAGACAGAGACAGAAAGCGAGATGCCGCAATCCCTTCTCCTCCATTCTCCTCTTGGGATCTTGGGCACGCACGCACACGCACCCGTCGTGAGTTTAAGCCATGGGGTCCAGGACTCAAACTGCGGTTGACTACGTGGGAGTCCAGTGACATAGCCTTTATGCCAACTGCTGGTCCCACAAGACACTTTTTTGTTGTTATGTTTTGTTTGTTTGGGGTTTTATTGTTGTTGGGATTTTTTTTTTTTCTGGGAGGGGTAGGGAGAAATTTTTAAAAATGGAAGCTTCTAGTAAGCCCCCCACTCCACTCAAATCAACTTTTGTTTTCTTCTTTAAAAAAGAAATAAAGAAAGGAAAAAGACAAAAAAAAAAAAAAAATCCAACAAGCCCTGCTGTTTGTCTGTACCCAAGTCCTTCCACCAAAAAAGCTAGTCTAGGTGTGAGGTCTAACACTGTCTTTAACACTTAGCCATCTAAAAATTATAATAAACTGGATAGTTTACACACACACACAAATAATAACAACAAATGGAATTAAATAAATAAATAATTCTTTAAAAAAACAAAAACAAAACCAACGCAAAAAACCTATATCCCCTACATCTAAGCATGGCTAGAATCCCAGCCCTGGCGACTTGAAAACCACACTGGGTGCATGTGCATGCCCAAATCCCAACAGGACGGAGAGACAGGGGGAAGACCTGCAGCATGACCAGGCTCCGCGTGTGACACTTTCTCCCTCTCCCTTTTCCTGTCTCTCTCTGGCAGTGCGTGCACCCTTTGGCAACTGGGGAAAAGAGAAAAAAAGAGAACTCCAATACTGCTCGGTTTCTCTATTCTGAGATTCTCTAGTTTATCCTTTATGTGACACTTTCTTGTTTCTGTTGTGTTTTGGTTTTAGTTTCTACTGGAGGGCACATGAGCTCATCAGAGAGAGAAAGGAAAAGAGAGATGGAAAGTGAGAAATCAGCTCCCAGCAGGGGCGGCCAGGCCACGTTCCCGTCTTCTCCTGGGATTCTGGGCAGGCATGCACACACGCCAGGGATGATTCTCAAACCCCTAGGTCCAGGGCTTGAGCAGTCGGCCATGTGAAATCCAGCTGCCCAACCTCCATGCCGCTGGCTGGTCCCTCATTCTACAATTTTATCATCAGTTCTCCAACATTCCAAATGTATTTACTCTTCTCCAGATGTGGCCCTTTTCTCTCTCCTGCCCCTTTAAGTCCAACTGTTTTGCGAAGTGAAGTTTCTTTTTTTTTTTTTTAGCGGTTTTTGCTATAGGGCGCGTGCGCTCGCCAGAAAGAGAGAGACAGAGAGACAGAAAGTGAGAAATCACCCCCCAGGGGGGATGGCCATGCCACAATCCCTTCTCCATTCTCCTCTTGGGGTCTTGGACACACACGCACACGCACCTGGTGTGAGTTTAAGCCACCGGGTCCGGGACTTGAACTGCGGTCGACTACATGGGAGTCCAGCGACATAGTCATTACGCTAACTGCTGGTCCCAAATAGGTGAAGTTTCATACTGTGCTCTCACTTGTCATCTGCATGATCAGATTCCTGTTTTGCCATATCTAATCATTGTTATGTTCTCTAAACTTTTAACTTCTTTTTTCTTAAGGAATTATTTACTTCATTTTATTTATTATTATCGCATCTTTGGAAAAGTCATGATGCGTTTTCTTTATAGAAAAAAGTGAAAAAATGTGTCATGATTTT